AGTCTCAGTCTCTCTCTCTCTCTCTCTCTCTCGCCCTCCCTCGCTCCTCTCCTATATGTATATGACTATGTATATTATACCCTGGTCGTAGCTTCATAGGGTCCTTACAGGAACCCTCATAGTAGTGACAAAGTTAGGATTCGTGGGTTCTGACTGTTTAGTCTTTAGGGTTTAGGCGACATGTGGCTTCTCAGAGGTTTGGGTTCTGTCAGGCCTGGAAAGCCCAGAAGACTTTCGCTGAAGATTTTGCTGCTGTCACCGCGCTTGGCCTCTCAAGGTATAGAGCACCTGAGCTTAGAGCAGGTCCTGTGAACAGTTGTCAAAAATACAGTATACAAAAACCCAAAACTAGACAGCTAAACTCTTTCAGCCACGGGTCTTGTGAAGTTATCATATGACATGGTTGGATGCTGCGGCTATGAATCAGAGTTCACGGGTTGGGATGTCTGGCGAAGAGTGCACATGCCTGATTCAGCAACCCGTAATGTCCCAAGTAGATACTGCGGTTCGCATTAGACACCCCAACACGAACCTCAGCAGGAAACATGCTTTACTCACGCCTAGTGGCTTGGGCTCCAGTCTCTATAGGCTGTTTAAAGGGGCTTGAAAATTACAGGGAGTTGCAAGGTTCCGTAATGGTAAGTTGTAGCAGTCACTGCAATAGAAACATATCAGTGGAATCTTAGTGACAAAGTCTCTCCTCCAGGATACATGCAGCCCGAAGCGATGTTGTACAGCTCGTGCTCGTAAGGCCATGCCCACACAAGAACAGGCTTCTCGAAGCCTCTGCAGCGTCAGTCTCTGATTGTGCAACACTCACTACCCCTAAGCTGGGCACGTAAGAGGGCGAACGAAGGATGAAGACTGTAGCACCCAACCGTATGACTGCAATGCAGAGACTTACAAACTCCGTCCCTGGTCATGGTACTTACACTACACACCAGCAATAATTAATCCCAAAGCCGGCAGCAATAATAAGAAGTGATGACGGCAGCAGGCATCATGATGACACGGAGGCAGTTTTTGACAATTTGACAGCAGCAGCAGCAGCAGCAGCAGCAGTTGCCCTTGCCACCACAACAGCAACTGCAACAGCATTAGCGCAGCATGTTGTATGATACACTTCAGCATCATTATCATCACAGGCATCGTCATCATAAACGAGGCTACGTGGCTAGACAACATCTGCCATCTTCGTTTTTATTAACCCAGCCAGGCCTTGAACCCCTCATGGCTAAAGCTCGATGCTTCTCACACTCTCGCACGTTTAGTCCTAGGCGCGCATCCAGGGTGTCATATTCAAGGACCATACGACCATGTGGGAGGGACTCTGTGCTAACTTTAAGGAGTGTGGAGTGTTGCTCTGTTGGTAGGCTGAGCACGTGCGCGAACCCTTAGCGCAAACCCTGGCACCAGGACCCTAAACCGTCATCTTGGTTTTGCAAGGTGTTGTTTGTTGGTGGTGTTTTGTCGCTTGGCCTGCGGCGGAGGGTTAAAATCTCGAAGTGCCCCTGCAGAATCGAATCCGCTTAGCTGCTAGGATCACAGGGTCTCTGCAACGATTCTTGGGCATGGCGATCCGTTATCCGTCCGTCTAGCATGCAACCAGAGGCGATCATGTGAGAGTTGCGAATCAACTGCTTCATGCTTGAAAAAGCGTGCTCAGATAGACTATGTCTACCTTCCACGTGTCTAAACTCCAAACGCAGAGCGCCGTCTTGGTCCTGGAAACCCTCATCTTCAACACCGGCATTTAGGATTCTCTGTTGGGTTAATAGGGGTTCCCCGGACCCCAAATATACAGCCATGAATGCCTGGGTCTAGGTGGTGTACTTTAGCGGCCTTAATAACTACCTATACTATTGCGGGGGTTCCTTATTCTATATATAGTATAATGGGCCCCAAAACCTTATTCTCATAATCAAGGCCCCTATATTAGCAGGGCTGCCCCTAAGTCCGGCTTGCATTGAGCTTGGTGCTCACTGGCTGACAGCGTGAACCCTAATTTTGGGCCCCAAACCTGAAACCCTAAACCCTAAAGTTTAGACCCTAAACCCCAAACCCTTAAAAAAAAAACTGAACCCTAAACCTTAAACCCTAAACCGGGAACAACCCATAAATGATGAACCCTAAGCTGACGCTTAGCCTCACCATGGTGACCCTGCCTATGACTGGGAGAAAGCCTTGTAGTCCCTAGTAGTAGAGGGGGGCTCCTTGTTATTATGATTATAGTATACTGGGCACCAAAACCCTGCCCCTATAGTAGGCCAGGGTTTAGGTGTAGTAGAGTAGGTGACCTTTTAACCTTTTTTGGGTAGTATAGTCCCTCTATAATCCCTATATAACCAAAAAGGTTAACCTTTAGTTCCCCATGATACCCTAAAGCCTTAACCCTTAACCCTTAACCCTAAACCCTAAACTCCTAAACCCTAACCTTTAGTTCCCCCTGATACCCGACAAGTAGGTAGACTCCGAAGTTCCAGGTCCAAAGAAAGAAACCCGAAGCCGAAGCCGGTTTCCATGGGGTAGGGTTTCGGGTTTAGGGTTTAGGGTTGTTAAGGGTTTTAAGGTTTACAGAGTAAATTAAAACCCATTCGGGTCTAGCGGTTTAGGGTTTGGAAACCCCTACGTAAACCCTAAACCTCAATAAACCTCGCTATAAACTCCGACAGTTTCTATATTCCTGAAGCGGACGCCCGAAAGCCGTAGCGGAGCCAACACCCGGACACAGCAACACCAACAGGAAGTGCTCACGAGTAGGGCTGATAAGTAGATCTGTAGACACGGCTGCTTGAACTAAGGATTAGGCTCTGATTGGGGAGGAACAGGGTAATATCGGGGCTTGGACACTTCTTGTTACAATTATATATAATGTAGCCTAAAAGATCCCAAACCCTATTCTAAGTGCTAGCTCCTTATTATACTTATAGTCTAGTGGTCCCCAAAATCCTATTATAATTATGAAGGCCCCTGTAGTAGCTGAGTAGGAAATCTTTGACCTTTCGGGGTTTGTATAACCCTTCCATAATTGTGCAGGTTAACCTTCTTTGGGGCTAGGGTACTCAGCCCCTAAACAGTATGTTTTCAGGCAAGGTGCCATGCTGTTCGGATATAGGCATATCAGAGATGGCTGCTGGCTTACTTGCTTCGTGCTTCGGTCGATGATATAAATCCTGCATTACCTTAATGACCCTAGACTATGGGAACTATGGTATATTCCTTGTTATGTGTCATGCAGGATTTATATCATCAACCGTTACATGTGTATCGTGTGCCCAATATGTCATCCTCGCTTGCTGCTGCCAGCCGGCCCTTTGTTTTTTAGTTCGCGTCTCGCGCTGGGAGTCCCTTGCCGTATTCCTGCTCCTTTTCAGCATGGTCCTCAGACTGTAACTGAAAGGTCTGGAGGTTTGTTTAGTCATACGCCCTTATATCCCCTAATTAGCCTCTATATATAACTACACCTTTGCATACCCCACTAGTCTGATGCCTTTGTATTTAAGCCCCACAAAACCCTGTACTATAAAGAACTCACAAATCATTGCCAGTGTAGGCCGACAACAGGCCGGACCTTCTGCAGAAAAGGCCCCACTACACTTTCAAAAAAAAGAACTCAAAAACTCTGTGTTCAAAGGAACCTCGTTCTAAGTGTTGACGTGCCTGTATTGCTCGATTGTTCACTTCAGGATACGATATCTCGCCATTTCCGGGTGTGTAGAGCCAAGTGCTACCCTGTTCGCAGCCCCTGCGGCAACTGTTAGCGAGGGAGGTTTTCATATTTCATGGCATAAAAAGTATACAGATCTTACATCCTGAATTCAATTGCAAACACTTAAAAAGTCCTTGCACAGAACTCGTTTGGAAGTTCCCAGGATATAGGAGTCGAAACAAGTGCCGACAGTATTCTCTTGTCGTCCGTCTTGTAATGTCAACACACTATACCTCAAGACCCTGTTCCTATCATTAGGGACTGTGTTAAACCCCAGAAAAAACCGTTTACAGACTCCCATAAATCTTTTATACAAGCCCGGGAGCCCCACTCCAAACCCTAAACCCCTAAACCCTACTTGGATGCCCAGTAGTACCCTTATTCCCTTTATGTAGTCCTAGGTTCCTTTTAAAGTTACCCAATACCAGAAACGGAGCCCTTTGTCTTTCTAGGTTACTGGGCATCCTAGCCTAAGCCTGTGAAGTCCCTATAGTACAGTAGAAGCCAGAAAGTTGGAGTATCATTATCGTAAACCCTTTAAGGTAAATTATAGGGGATCCTACCATTAATCCATATTCCAACTTTCTGGAGTTCCCTTTATAGTAAGATCCCTTATAGATCCCTTTAAAGGAACCATTATAGAACCCTAAAATTATAATACCCTTGTTCATATTCCAACTTTCTGGAGTTCCCTTTAAGGCCGCAGTCCCTGATCCGAGCGGTTGAGTTTCCTGCAACGCGACCAACGACTGGGTTTCAGGGTCGGTACCTCCAATATATGGGGGCCTACAATAAATCTTTAGGGTTTAGGGTTTAGGGTTTTAGGGTTTAGGGTTTAGGGCCTACAATAAATCATTACTTATACTCTTTTGAGGGTTCCTTATTATATAACCATATAATCAGTGCCAAAGCTGTATTTTACATATTAAGGCCTCTACATTAGAGACCCCTAAGCCTGTGACATAACCTTGTAGCACTCTTACAAAGCCCTTGTGCAACCAAGTAAACCCGTTTAGAAACCTTGTTCCAACCCTTTCAAGACCCATGTCAAAAACTCTAGCAAGATCAACTACACCCCGAATCCTGAAGCTTAAACCCCTGAATCCCCAACCTTGAACCCTTGCCCTAAATGGCCTATATAACCTGACGCCTCAACTCTATAGACCCACAGGGTCCAGGTACTCCCTATTGTAGGACTGTAGGGCCCCGTTTAGGTACCAAAAACCATCAATAAGTATTACTTGGACCCTTAGGGAGACAGAAGGGGAGCCTCACTTTGACATTCGAGGTCATGCAGCGATCGGAGACGCAGAGTTTGTGGCGCCCTCGGGGGCTCAGGGATTCAGGGTTTTGGGCCTACTGCTAAGATGCTTAAGCCGTATAGCAGGTGATCTATGGGGTTTAGGGTTTGTCGGGTAGGGGTTTCCCTAAGGGTCCAAGTACCTAATAATCATATACTCTCCCAAATACTAACCTACATAACTACTATCCTAGAACCGAGTACCTACTTATTGGGTCCTTTGGACCCTTAGGGTTTAGGGTTAGTCAGTTTAGAGATTCAACCCCTTCAGTGCAATGAGTGCTTACGGAGGGCTCCGCATCCTGGGCTAGACTTATCATACCCAGAGAGTCCAAAAATCCTCAATCAAGGAATATATTCCTTGAATCATATTAGGGGCCCTAGCAAAGTTTAGGAATATGCCGTATACTAAGGGATATTAGAGTCTATGGGCAGGCGGTCGTCAACATCCAACGAGTTTACCCTCGTCCGTTACGATTATGCTCGTCGTCATGGGGATGGAAGTTTTCAGGTTTGGGAAGGAGCACCCCTAACCCTAAACCCGAAAACAGAGCTGATGAATCAAGACATTTCCGCTCGGAGGTGGTGAAACATGAGATTGCTCTGGTTCCGCTCAACGTCTACTTGGGCTTTCCCAGTAAAGCTTAGTCTACGTCAAGCAGCGGCACGTTTCGTCATTGACACAGAACCTATAGATTTGCCAATATCCCTTTTTAAATAAATGAATTTACTTTAAAATCGTAGTAGGATGCCTACTCTGTCTTAGGGAGTATTCCTCGATAAAGGGATATTTGAGATTTTTGGGAATAATGCAGAACAGTAGGCCCGTTGTCGCGAAGGAGATGCCAGGATGACCTTGTGATCCGAAGCCCAGTCTTGCAGGAAGATTGAGCACTCGTTATCCGAAAACTTGAAGTCCTACCTATAGATCGTTAAATGTCATACAATTTTGTTGGTTACCAAAGTTTCTTATTGTAGGATGTTTCTGCTCACTTAGCCGTTTTGGAGTCTTTGTTTGAACACGCAGCTCAGCTGCAGCAGTTAGCTGTTCAGCACAGCTGTTTCCATGAAAGCAAGGTTCCCAAAACGTGGTCTGAAAAAGCCACGATTCAGTACGGGTGGCAAGAAAGCGCCATGTGCCCCCATTTTGGAAACAATTATGCAGCCATCGTCCGAAACCTGAAACCGCAAACCCTAGACGCGAAATGCCGAAGCCCGAAACCCTAAACGAGAAACCCGTAACAGCCTGTATAAAGCCTGGTCAAGAATCCGATCAACATAATTACAATTAAGGTTCTATCAAAACACTACGAAATCCCAAAGCTCTAATTAATCTGCAACTCAACCTCGCCAGCCCGAAAGCCCTAAACTACAACCCAACCCCGCCAGGGCCAGTTTCGATGGTCGCGTGGAGCAGATCCTTCTACGTCGCGCCGCGGATGCAGAGGCCCAGCAGCTTCAGGGGGGGCTTCCTACTTATAGTGATCCACGCACCCGAACAGTATATACTTTGGCCCCAAAGTACCTATATAGGAACTACCTTAAGTCCAAAGTATCTACTATTTGGGTACATGGACCATGCGGGCCACTTGAAGGATCATGGGACTTAGTAAAGGGGGTTATAAAGTAAGGGAAGTAGAAACTTGGGTAACCTCCTACTTACAAAGTCCACAGATCGTACCTTTTGTTGGTGCCCTTGGTTTCTGATTCTTGGACGACAGGATCCGATCCATAAACTGGGTCCTCGCGGAAAGTCTTGTTTACAGGATGTTTTCTGGTAAGGTAAGTTCATAGGATGCTTGTGGGTATGATCAGCCAGTTTGGGCAATATAAGCTAGATAGCCCAATAGCGCCCACCATCGCACCCCTGCTGGTCTGGAGTTTCCGTATGGAAACTGAATAGCATTTGTTCAGGGTGCCAGTATGATTCAGTTCTCCACCCTTAAAGGTGTAGGTGCAAGTGAGCTTGAACATTGATGAGTAGAAGCTTCGATTCTCTTTCATGCATATGGAGCTGGGGAGCAAGGGTAGATGCAAGCAGCCCAACTCCTAAAACCTAGCTCCAAAACCGAGAAGCATTAAGCCCAACGATCCTGAACCCCAAATCCGAAGCCCTAAAGTACCCTTGCACATCTATGGCCGCCCAGAAGGCTTATAAGGGTGATGTCCTACATTCCCAGCACCTTAACAACTCTAGTAAACCTGCTGGGGCAGGCCCGTTGTCGTCGGATCATGGAGGCCCTGCGGGGGGCTGTTCAAAACCTGAGATTTAGGCTCTGGGTATTAGGGAATGGGTGTTTGAGGGTTTCGGGCTTTGGATTTCGGAATGTATGAGATTTATAGGGTAGTACCTATTGCAGTTTCTTGTTTTTAGTAGCCAGTGTTAGATACCATAAAGCTGGTAGACCACAAAAAGGAACTACAATGGAGACGATGTAGGCAATAGGCAGGGTGTAGTTTCGGAGTCTAGCGCAGATTCACGGCTGATGCAAAGTAGGGATGTACATGTTAATCGTCTCTTTCTGTCACAAACCAAACTGAGTCCCAGAGGGTCCAAGTACTCCCTATTGTAGGACTTTAGGGTCTGTTTAGGTACCAAAAACCATAAGTTAGGACTACTTGGACCCTGAGGGAGTTGCTTTGGCCCTATGATGGTGCCACCCAGCCAAAACCTTTCACCCAATATGCGGTCGGCTGCATATTTTTACTTCAGCATAGCTGGGTAACATTTTACATTATACGGTTCCTTAAAAATTCGAAAAGGAATAGAGATGTATTTTCTAAAACTACTGAGTCGCTACTGGAATTTATGGGCACTTAAACTTAACAAGGAATACAAACGTATTTTCTAATACTAACTCGTAGTGATGGCATTTTAAGGTTGTCCTCTCTTAGACCCGGGACTCTCCACCTCAGAACCAAAAAACCTCTACCTAGTAGCTGAGTAGTTAACCTTTAATCTTTTGGGATCTTGATAATCCTACCATAGTTGAAAAGTTTAACTTTTTGGGGCTGGGTTATTTCAACCCTAAACCCTAAACCCTCAACCCTCAACCCTCAAACCCAAACCTCCTAAACCCTAAACCCGAGACCCCCTAAACCCTAAACCCCCGAACCTTAAACCCGGAACCGTTGCAGCCTCAACCTGGGCCCCAACCTGAATTCCAAAGCCGTGTGAGTCGCATCCGTGAAGCCTTTTCGGGTTTAGGTGGACATGAGTCGTTTGCTTGGCCTTGTTTGAGGAGTTGAGCATGTGGTAAGCCGATTATATCGTCCCGGGCTACACCCTCAAATCCCGACAGCCGTAAAACGCTAAAACTCCAAAATGCTGGAACTCACACCCTACACCTTATTCCAAGCATAAGGCCCTAAATTCTTAACCCCCAGAGCCCGACAGGCCTTACCTATGGTCTCCATTGTAGTTCGTTTTTTGGGTAAGCCAGTTTTACAATCAGGAGTTAACAAAGGTAACCCACAGAAGGAACGACAATGGAGACCATAAATCAAGCAGCAAGCCGGGCAACTCGTTCCGGGCAGGGCAAGAGGCAGGCCATCACGGAGAGACAGCTCCAGCTTCAATCCCAGGCGCCCGAAATAGCAATTCTATAACCCTAAGGGTCCAAGTAGTCCTTATTCATGGTTTTTGGTACCCAAAAAGGCCCTAAAGTCCTACAATAGGGTGTACTTGGACGCTCTGGGTAAGGGTCCATCAGGGTTTTTGGAGCTGAGGGTTTCAAGTGCAGGTTGAAAGTAGATGGGAGTTTCCGAAAATTAGGGATACCTTATTACGGGGTCCTGATCATAAGGATCCTACGATTTAGGGTTCTAGAATAGGGTCCCCTATAGTCGGAAACTCCCAGATGGGAGCAGATATCAGCACAACCCCAAATTACGAGCCCTAAACCCATTTTGTCTAGCCCTTACAGTAGAAGCCAGAAAGTTGGAATATCATTATCGTAACCCCTTTAAGGTAAATTATAGGGGATCCTACCACTAATCCATATTCCAACTTTCTGAAGTTCCCTTTAATCATAGGGATCCTTAGGGGTGTAGGGGGGAGGGGTGTAGGGGACTATATTTCCTTAAGTAGGCCTTATTAGTCCTTATTATGGGCCTTAAGGCCCCCTACCCCCCCTCCCCCTAGACCCCTAAGGATCCCTATGATTTAACCCCAGAACCAAGCCCTGAACTCTGTTGTGGTGTCCACACGACGTCGAAAGACCCCACAACCTGAGACCCTCAATCTTCCAGCTGTAGAAGCCTTTAAGTTACAGTAGCTACTAAAGGGGCCTTAATGATTAGAATAGGGTATTGGGATTATACTATAATCATAATACGGAGCCCTCAAAACCCTATTCCACTTATCAAGGCCCCTGTATTGGGCCGTTGGGACATTTTCAAGTATGGTCCTGAGAGGATCGTGCGTACGATGGTTTTTGGCGGGCTTAAAGAGCCGGACACATAAATGAGTCCAGAAGCTTGAAGAGTTAGGCTAAACTTACAATATAGGAACCTCGGTCCTAGCAGGCACCGCCACCCTTGAGGTCGAGGACTTTGATTGCCTCCAGAACAAGGTACTCATAACCCTACTTACTAATTCCCTCTAAACCCTAAACCCCCGCCAAAAAAAACCCTAAACCCTTTATAGTACCACTATAGATCCCTTAAAGGGCCCCTGAACTGTAAACCCTGAACCCTAAAACTGGGCAAAGCTGGGGCCCTCGGCACGCCCCCAGAGAACCCAATACCCCTTAATTAAGGGATATACCTTGAATTATAGGGGGCCTTAATATTATGATTTAAGGCATATTAATTAAAGGGTATTGGGATCTCTGGGCCGAGCTGGAGCCCTTGGTGAAGTGGAAGGTGGTCGAGACCAAGTTGGCCGTGCAATAGACTCTAAACGTTAAAGCCACGCTAAGTTACTTAAAGCATCATGGGACTTAGTAATTGGGGTTAGAAGTAAAGTAACTACACTTAGAATTACTTATCACCCCAATTAAGGTACTTACAACCCTACTTACCAAGTCCCATGATCCTAGAAGTACATACTTCAAACCCTGCTGTTCCTATCGAGGCTTCGGTGGTTTTTGGGACTGGGCATTTACTTGTCGACACTTGGACCAACTTCTAAACCCAGGCCATATAATAGAAGCCCTACACCCGACAGGAGTTCTGAAAGGGTTCCTTAACGGCACCTTCATATTAAGGGTTCCTTGATGGGAAAACAGAGAAAACTAATCTTCAAGTTCCGCAAAAACCACCCGAAGGTCAACCTCTCTGTTTTGAGGTGGGCATGTATGAGTGTAGGGTTTAGGGTTTATGGCATGCTCTGCCTGAATCTGGCAGTTGATATTATTGTCCCTTGTCGTTCCTACCTATAGTCTGCATTATCATACCTTTTCTGGATTTGTTTTGGTTTAACCACAAAGGGAGCTACAACGGAGACTTTAGGCCCTTTAGGTCGGTATCTATTAACACATTACCGCAACCCACCTCTTCTACTTGATAAGGCCGGTATAGAACCCCAAGCTGGCCGGGCAGGTGACGGCTGCGGAAGAGGCTCTCTGGCATCTTCAGTCTAGGGATAGCTTGTCGGCTTTAGACAAGGCTCTGAGGCCTCTTGCCAGGTTCCTGAGTAGTACCCTTTCGCCCTTTCTTTTTTCGGGTCTCCTTATTAATTAGAGCCCGAATGGTAGGAAAAAGGGTGCCCTTATTATAAAGGGACTACTCAGAAACCTAGCTTGTGTTTCCTTTTCTCAATCCAAGGAATCCAAGGATCTAACCCAGGCGAAGGGTTTTCGGAAAAAGGCCACGGAGCGAAGGCTGCAGCAATCCCCGCAAAGCCCGATTCTGACTAAGCCCCTAAGGCTCCATGTACCTTTATGCCCCTATATAGGTACTCTGAGGCCAAGGTATATACTATATGGGTACATGGAGCCTTAGGGAGCAGGGAGTAGGTTCGCTACGTGTGCGACGGACCCTGAGCCCTGGGACTCTGAGTCTTTAAACCCTCTGGATTCCCAACTACTGGTAATTACATACATACATGAAAGATTTCTACACTACAGGTCAAAGACGTGTACAGATGCATAGGTCCAAGACAGTGACCTGCTTTATATGCTGCCGTCCTAACCGTTCTTATGCTGTTTCATTGAAGTTAGTACGTTCGCTGCATGGCTATAGGATTTTTTTAAATCAGCATCAAGCGGCAAAACTCGTTCCATCAATAGCTCGGCAGTGTAATCATCCAGGTTGAACTCGTAGGTTCTATAGGACGGTGGTGGGTTACTTTCGGCTTGCGGGTTCGATGCTTGAGATTCACCTAAACCGCCAAGGTAAACTTAATTTATGGCCCAACCTAGTATTCTACATACTTTTCCGGTCCAGGCAAGTCTTAGGGTCGAAACCATGTGACGGGGGCTCTTCGTGTTTTCTCGTGGCTTCGACGCCAGTTCTAGCCTGCACGCCGAAGCCTCAAGCTCTACCTAACAGCTAAGGAGCCAGGGATGGTGATAATCCCTATTAAATAAGGAGCTAAAGAGCCAAGGGAACCCCCAAAACCACTGGTTAGCTACGTTCAGAACCCCAAAGCATCCCCAAATCCTTGAAATCTAGAGCCGCGAGCTCGAAGCCTTAATGAGCATGGGTTTGGCGGATTCGCAGATTGAAGTTAGTTGGCGTGGAGAGCGAAGTTTGCATTGGCAGATCTTGCACCACAAAGCCCGGCGCGATCGCCACGTGGGCTTCGACAAGGTTCCTCACTGATCATGCTACCCGGACGCGGTTAAGCATTGTACCTTTGTCAGGGTGTGCGGACGATTTTCGTGGACCGGGTGGTCAAGCACAACAGCCTCTGGTTCACTCGGCAAGAGCTTGCCGCCGAACAAGATCACCGAGATCACAGCAAACAAATCCCAAAGCCGCCTCCATCCAGTCTGGCAATCTGGTTATCGGGCCCAGCAAATTCCTATAACAAGGTCGAAACCAAAAAACCCTAAAACCTTACAGCAAACCCCATAAAGTTGGAAACCGGATAAAGGTCAACTAGTGCTGAGATTCCTTTTGCATTACTCTTAAGGATTGAGGCTATTGGGTTTCCAACTTTTGGGCTTCTACTGTACGTCGTACGAACCCTAAACTATGAACCCTAAACTCTGAACTCTAAAACCCAAAACTCTACAATCCCAAACCCTTAAACCCTGCAGTCCTCACAAACCGAAAGCCGCTATAGAACCCTGATAAGAACCCTTACTTGGAGGTTCATGGGTAGTTGTAAGTGGGGATATAAGTCCCCTAACAAGGGTTATAAGTACAATTACCCTACTTATAACGGTACTTATCAGCCCACTTATAAACCCTAAACCCCATTCCCTAAACCCTAAACCCTTAATTACCCACGAAAGTCAAAAAGGAATCCTCGCAGTCCAAAGGCCCTAAAGCCTTCAACCTAGGATCCCTTTTTGGGTACCCTAAATATTAGGTGCCGTACTAGCATAGGGGCCCAAAAGGGGACCATAATTTTGACCACCACCCATATCGGGACTACTTTAAGGCCAAAGTATCTACTTTTTCGGAACACGCAGTTTTCAATCCTAAACCCCGAACCCTTATGGTGCCCCTACGAGAACCCTTGTTATACCCGTAAACGGAGCCCTATTTCCTAAACCCCGAACCCTTATGGCACCCCGATGGAGGCACTTCGCCGTGAGAAGGAAGCGGCCCTGGAGCTTCAAACCGAGGCGCCTTTCTCCTAAGGTTTCCTTTAAAGGAATCCTTTAAAGGGATTTCTTTTGAAGGAATTCTTTAAAGGGATCCTTTTGAGGGAATACTTTAAAGGACATGTACAAAATTGCTTAAAGGAGCTCTCAAAGGGACCCTTAAAAGAACCCCAGTAAAGGAGCTCTTAGAGGATCCTTTAAGCGATCCCGTAAGGGTTCCTTGAGTTGGTCACTAAAAATCGGCGTTTCGTAAGGGTTCCTTGGTTCCTTTGCGGGTTCCTCTAGGGTACTCTATGGCTTCCTAGTGTCCCAAAAGGGGGTTCCGTTGAGGGTTCCTTTTAAGGGTACTGCCAGGGTTCAAACCGAGGCCAGTTAGGGTTCAAGGTTTAGGCCTCAGGGTTTAGGTCAGGTTTTATGGTTTAGCAGAAGATTGCTGCGATTATTCCTGGGGCTTCCAATGCCAGTTCTCATAAAGTTACTGTATAGTTTTATCTGGGAGTTTCCGAAGAATGAGGGGTATCTTATTTTGGGGTCCTTATCGTAAGGATCCTGCTATTTAGGGTACTATCTTGGGGTCCCCCATTTTTGGAAACTCCCATCTATACCTGCAGCCTACTCTAGTCATCAGGCCCATGGGACCCCATCATTCGCGACAAGTGCTAGTAGCTGAGTGGATACTCTTTGCACTTTTTGGGACAATATTACACTATAAAACTGAAAATATAAACTTTTTGGGGCTTAGGAACTCAGCAACTAAGAAGTGCTTGCAGGGTTTAGGGGCACCTTGTACTCGCTGTCGGCCCAGAAAACAATGCGAGATGTCGACCCTTGCTTGCCATTCTGATGTTTACGACGGTTGTAGGGCCTACCTGCCACAAATTGAACAAGGGGACACGTTCGAGAATGCTTGATGCTTCATTTCCCGACCCCTCCAACCGTCGCTCCCAAAGCCCTCAACTGTTATCCATAATCACAACTTCTGGAAAAGAGTCTACATGAACTCTAAGCCGCCAAGCGCTAAGCCCTTACAAGAAGGTCTCCTTGGAGCGATGGGAGCTGCAGCAGAGTGCCGGGGGCTGAGCGGAACGAGACTATGGCTTCCAGAGGGTTTCGAGCTCCAACGGGTGTACGGTTTGCCTACAGTCTTCTTTGTAGTTCCTTCGTTGTCGGGGCTTATTGTATCTTGTACATATAATCATCTGGCCAAACCACAAAAGGAACTACAATGGAGACTATATAGATGGGGTGCACACTAAGGTCATGGGGCTTGGTTTGAGCTCCAGGTTTCAGTTGAAGGGTTTACGTGCGGTGGATGTCCGGCGTTCTCGGGTCGATGATTTCGGGGCGAAGTCTTGAGGGTCTTGCGAATGCTATAATTCCAGGGGGTCCATATATACTACTATTATAGAGTTAGGTCCCCAAAGACCATCCTTATTATGGCTTTGGGGGCATAATTCCATAATGGTAGTGTATATGGACCCTCTAGGAATATTGTAAGGGCTTAAATAATTACACGTACCACGCCTGAAGGCTCCTTAAGATACGCATAGCATATACCCCAAAGCTCTAGAGTTATTCAAGGCCGCTATGTATCCCTAACGGTCCATGTACTCAAATAGTACACACTTGGGCCTTAAAGTACTCCCTGTATAGGTACTGTTGGACCAAAGTGTATATATTAGTGGGGTACATGGACCATTAGGGTTGTACGACTGCCGCTCAAGGTTGAAAACCCTGTCATCGCAAATGGCTCCTCCTCGGCTAACCAGGCAAGTCCTGGACTCTAGACTAAAGTGATTCAATCGCAAACGGAAACCTAAAATGACCAACACAATAACTTTAAACAAACATAATAACAACTAAAAGCAAACAAAGTTAAACCAAGTAACGACAAAGTTCGTCAAACACGAACACAAATAAGGATATGGGCCCTGTATTCAGAAGTCCCGTTGATCTAAACCGTGTGGTTCTGGTTCGGCGCAAAAAGTTAAGGCTAAACTCATACACCCAGAATCCTACTTGGAGCATCATGGGACTTAGTAAGTAAGATTATAAGTACCTTAATTGGGGTTATATGTAATTATAACTGTAGTTACCTTGCTTATAGCCCCAATTACTAAGTCCCATGATCCTTTAAGTAGACCCCTCCGTTAAGATTCATGCAGCCTTTTGAAGCACGTCCATCTTGTAGGCAGGCTTAGGGGTAGGGTTTGCACGGCTCGGACCTCCTGAAGCCTAAACCCCGAAGCGCTACACCCTAAACCCTAAACCGGTAACCCGCGGGACTCTTTGAATAAGGTCCTGTAGAACCAAAAGCCTAAACCGCTCAGCAGCAAGTTAGGCCAAGTGTCTGGCGAAGATTTGGCCGGAAGTCGAGGACCAGGGGATAGTGGGTAAAGCCTGTGAAACACCCAGAGACTCCGACAGGCTTTGGAAGGAATACACCTTCATTACAAGACGATATTGAAGATGTGTACCACTACTCTAAACCCTAAATCCCTGTAACCCTACACCCTAAATCCCCGAAGCGCCTAAATGCCTAAACCCTAAACCCTAACACAAAAGAACCCAGCCACTTAAACCACCCTCAGGGTCCATGTACCCAAATAGCATACACTTAGGCCCCAAAGTATCTTTTTAGGGACTACTTTCAGGCCAAAGTATCTAGCCCCAAGGGTCCAAGTACCTAATAATCATATACTCTCCAAAATGCTAACCTACATATCTACTATCCCAAAACCGAGTACCTAATTGTTGGGTCCTTTGGACCCATGGGGTACTATTTGGGTACATGGACCCTTAGGGTATTTTCGTTGAATAAGATCTGCCGTCTCTGAAAAGTCGCCTTGCCAGTTCGAACAAAGTTCCTTGAAGGGTTCTTTCTACAGGAGTCAATACCCAGACCCGCCGGAGGATCCAACAAGTAGATCCCTTAATGGGGGTTCCTATAAAGTACCCTCAGTAGTATAGGGCCCCAAATTAGGGGATCTACTTTCTACATCCTCTGGGGGGTCGAAAAGGGTTGCTATAAGGGTTCAACGTAAGCAACCCGCGACCCTAAACGGCACTAACCCCAAGGGTCCAAGTACCTAATAATCATATACTCTCCAAAATAGTAACCTACATAACTACCATCCTAAAACCGAGTATCCAATTATTGGATCCTTTGGACTTTTGGGGTAAGACCCAAATCTCCAAAACCCTGCAGCATCGACAGTAAGGTTGTAAGTGAGCAGTGGAAGCGCTAGAGGTATGAGGAGGAGGTTTCAAAGCCTAAGGGCTTAGGGGGTTTAGGGTAAAGCCTAAACCCGAACCCTGACAACAACACATCTTCTTTTCGAGTACACCTGCCAGAGACTTAGCCGCTAGTTCTTAGCCGCTAGGTTAGAAGCAGGTGTAAAGCGCGTGTATAACACGGAACATGGAACACCTTTGTTAACAAGATGCCAAGATGCTAGCTGAATCGAGGACTACTCAAAACAGTGAGACCCTGAACTTCTAAACCCGTAATCAGCCTTAGTCCCTAAAACCCTTAACGGTATACACCCCAAACCCCAAACCTAGAAACCTGAACTCCTACACCCCGAACCCCAACCCTAAGGGTTCAAGCAATCCTCATTTATGGTTGTTGGTACCTAAAAGGCCCTAAAGTCCTACAGTAGGGAGTACTTGGACCCTCTGGGTACAGCGAGGAGACAACTGGAGCTCTTGCTCTGGCTCAAGAGAAAGTCCTCCAACTGAGGCCTCGGCTGCTCTGGTTTGTGCAAAACCCTACGGGTCCAAGTAGTCCTTATTTATAGGGGTACTACCAGGGTTTAGGGTTTAGGGTCTACTTGGAGGATCATGGGACTTTTTAAGTATAGGGTTTAGAGTACCTTATATAGTTGGGGTGAAAAGTACTCATAACCCAATTACTAGGTCCCATGATCGTAACGGGATAGTCGAGAGGTGTAGAAAATCCGGGTTGGTCCTCAGTAAACTTATGTGTTTGTTGTCCTTGTTTACATATACTAGGGCATGTTACATTTTTCTTCAGGCACTGTATCCAAGGTCTTGGGAAAGGCGTTCAGGGCTTCAGAGAGTAGCTGTGAGATCTTGACTGTAGGAGTTTGGACTACGGTTTGGGCTTAGGGCTTGAGACTCAACTTTGGGTTGTGTTTCCCGCTTTAGGTGCTAGATTGGATTTGCTTTGGCTGAAATCTCCGAGCCTTGTAACTGAAACTAAGCTCTTTAACAACTTAGGGGTACTTAGAAATAATTTGAAACGCTGCGCGTCGTCCGCCTCGGCCCGGCTGTACGCGCATGCGGCGAGTGGCTACTATCTGCAGCAAGCTCTTGTAGGAAAAAAGTAACAGTTGGAATCGCACTTATAGTAAAAGTAATGTTCACAGCAACACGAAGCAGGATGATTTTGAGTAGTATTAGTAGTGGTAGTATCAGTACGAATTTTGGTGTCGTCATTCCGAAACACTGGATACCAAGACTCTCGCAAGCGGCGGGATGCCTTAAGTATGGGCCGTTGAGGCTGTGGATTTCGTGGGCGTCTTGGATTAGGGAAGCATCACAGCCTTTTCAACCACGTTACTCCGCCTATCCCAACGAAAGGGCGTCTAAAACAAGCCTGAGACGCACGTAAAGATGCTACATTGCAGCCCCGTGTCGTCGAAAACTCCAGAAGGCTCGCACCTGCCAGCGAGCGGAGGAGGGGCGGGAGGGGGAGGGGGGGGGAGCAGGGGGTGGGACTGCCCGCCGGACCTTGGGGCTCATCGACACGTTTCCATCTTTTAGGGGGGGGCGGGGGGGGGGAGATTAACCCGCTTTACAACCAGAATCCTTACTTTACAACCAGAATCCCCACTTTACAACCACAGACACTGTTTTCCGTGTGAGAATCCCCACTTTACAACTGCCGATCGTGAGAACGCCCACTTTGCAACCCGTCTACCCATGATTAAGGCTTATTGGGATTTCATGAGTTTTTTACAACAAACCTACCTAGATTCCTAATAGTTTGTTGGGTCTTTGACCCCCTAAAGTGTTTTACGTGGCCTTCATCCGACCGTGGCCCCAAACTACTAAGATCTCGAACATCCCTAAAATTGCTTCGTCGCATGATATCTTTGATCTTTGTCGTCTGTGGGTGCTCCGCACTCCTAACCTTGCCTGTGGTGGGTTGGTGGGTTGGGTTTCTAAAAGTCATATTATCTTCATGATTCCCCAATACAAACACACAAACAAATACATCAATTTTTGAAAGTACTTGTATGGCGTAAAACCGTAAATACAACATCAAATGTAATAAAATGTTCGGGTTCATGGATTGGCTTTAATATAAATATACATACATATACATATATATATATATAAACTAAAAAAATGCATACCTGCGCTCTGGTGAGAAAAGAGTCCGTCTGTGAAGCGTGGTGCTGTGGAGTTCGAGGGTAGGAATTTGGTTACATGTTACTGCGCTTTGCACTCTAGCCTTGCCTGTGGTGGGTCGGTGGGTTGGGGTTCTAAAAGGTCATGTTTTATGTATGCTTTCCTCAATACAAGCACACAAAAAAGGAAAATCTTTTTTTGAAAGTACTTGTATGGCGTAAAACCGTAAATACAACATCAAATGTCGTAAAATGTTCGGGTTCATGTATTGGCTTTAATAGAAATAACCATATATATATATATAAACTAAAAAATGCATACCTGCGCTCTGGTGAGAAAAGAATCCGTTTCTAAAACTCATGTTTTCTTTCTGCTTTCCCCAATACAAACACACTCGGTCCGAGTTTGCCTGCAGGGAGTGAGTTGGATACAGCTTGACGGTCGCAAGTGCGTAAAGTGCAAACCACTATGCAACAACACGCTCGCTGAGGTGAGCATCTAACCAGTATCATCGATACCAAACCCTCACGCATCTAAATATATATATATATATATATATGTACACACACATATCTATCGTGGTTTCGGGTTAAGAACGCCCACATTGCAACCAACATCACTTTCCAACCTGCCTGGCTGCCGTAGAGGATGATGCTAGAGATTCTAGGCTTTGACGTTATCAGTTAATAGGGTTGTTAAGAAGCTTTCCCAACCGGTTGCAAAGTGGGGATTCCGGAAAGGCTCATGGGTTGTAAAGTGGGGGTTCTGGTTGTAAAGTGGGGATTCTGGTTGTAAAGCGGGGTACACGCGCGGGGGGGGGGTGGGGGGGGCGGGCAAGGATTTTGGGGGTGGGGTCAATCCGAATCTTCGGCCGGGGCCGACGCGAATTACTAATTTTTGGTTATTCTAATCCTTAAGAAACAACTAAAATTTTGATTTTTGCTAGGGTTCTACGTTCAGTATAGACAAGAGCCCAGCCAGCCCGACGCGCGCAAGGCAGGCATCTGAAGAGCACAGTTACACCGAGAAGCAGAACTTGGAGATCGCCAGCAGCATCTACGAGGCTCTGTAAAGGGTTCTGTAAAGGGTTTCCTTTAAGGTTTGTAGCGGCATCTGCGAGGCTTCAAGGGTTCTGTACAGGGTTTCCTTTAAGGTTTGTAGCAGCATCGGGCGTGTTTTGATGGTTCGAAGTTTGGGATTTGAAGCAGTGTTTATGTGTTTCGGAAGGCTTCCTTTGGGTATCAGGTTTGGCGGGTGAGGGCGTGAGCTTTACTGCTTTGCTGGCTAACTACCCCTTCAAGTCAAGAAGGTTAAGTGCACCACGAATTACTTGGAAGGGCAGGGGACTTAGTAAGTAGGTTTTCAGTAGGGTTACAATTGGGTAACTCCATTTAGGGTACTTATAACTCTACTTATAACCTACTTACAGGGACTTTAGAACGTTTTTCATAGCTTTCAAGAGGCCCCTAGTGGGTTTAGGGTGTGTGGGGTTTGAGGGGTGTTGGGTTTAGGGCTTCGGGCTTCCTCCGTGATTGTGCGCCCTAAAGGAACCCTCTGTCATATACCTTAGACTCAGACCCTGCTTGAGTACATGTCCTGAGCACGGCAGCACGATGCTTCCCAGCACTAGCAGGGAAGCCAAAGCCCTAAACCCACAAATCTCAAAGACCCAACCACAGTTACAGCCCCCAGCTGCCAGCTCTACGCTGCGGCTTCGGGCATCCGCTGGGACTTGGAATCTGACGACCTCGAGGGGTGCCAGGGACCTCCTCCGCGTAGACTTAGGGGCTTTGGGTTTGGGGCCGAGGGTTTAGGATTTACGATTTGGTGCTCGGGGTTCAGAGTTTAGGGTCTAGGGTTTGGTGTTCAGGGTCTAGGATCTTGGTATCATGAAGGGCTCGTTTTAGGTACTTGTTGGTGGTTCCTTCTGATGTTTCACATTGTCAAGATTCTCTGGAAAATTGGAAGGGCTCCTTTTAGGCATGTCGTTGTTTGCGGTTTTTACCCTGCTTTCGCATTGTCTAGGGTGGCTTTCGTATTATCTAGGGTTTTCTGACGGAGGGATTGGACAGTGCTCGTCGATGCTTTACGCTTGCGGCCTGGTAATTGAGGAATCCGGGTCCAGGCTTTAGGGGTGTTTAGGGTTTGGGGCTGGGGAATTCCTGTGGTCAGTTTGAACCGTGACATGCGGGTCTGATGGGTTCTCCCCATTCCCTGTTTCATCCAACTCATTATGGGTGTTCCGTGACATTTGTGACCATGCATCCAGTACAGGGAGATTTAGGAATCGTGCCGAGGAGGCCATGCTTTCATGGACTGCAGGTTAGTCAGAAACTTCGTTTCTTTATCTCTCTGGCCATCTGATAAGTTAAGCCTAGAACTCTCCGCTTGGGTCTGGCAAACAGGTGCAAAGTTTCTGGCTGCTGCTGTGATTCAGTCATGGGAAAGTTGAATACGGTTTCGTCACTTGTGCACATTAAGCTGAATGAAATCACGGTTTAGGGTTTAAGGCGCCAGGCTCTCTCCGAGTCTGTAAGAGGTTTTGATGGTTGCTTGTCGGCGTTGTAGTCACACCCTTACTTCCGGCGCATTCATATAAACGGCGTCTACCGGGTGGTCAATCCTTCTGTGGAAATCCTGGCGTTCGATCTCTTTCTTTTTGTAATACAGGAGCCTTGATATGCACTTGGACATATATTGATGCCTGAGCTATCAAACACGAAGTCTGTCAGGTACATCGCCATTGGCAACAAAGCTCGCGTCTTCAAGGCGCAGAGATGGATTTTAAAACGAGAATGTCTGTGACAGCCTTTGCTATCCTGGTGGAGATGATTGCTTATGATTTTGATGCTGCCGCACAATAAAAGATTGCTAAGCGTGACCAGTCATAAGGAGCTTCAGAGCTTTTGTGGTGTTGACCTGTGGATCGTCACGCGCATCTTCGTGATCTAGCTGGGTGATGAAGGCTAGATGGTCACGACACCCATGTTGTTGTTTCCTTCTTGAGTATTCACCAGCTTCCGACACAATCTCGTGGAGGACTCTCGGTTTTCCTTGCAGTCGCTGCTGGCTCAGGGTCTAGGTTCCCATTTCCACGTGATATCAGCTAGCAGGTGACCCAACGACCCAACCTCGCTAACAGTGCAGCTCCCCTGAACAATGCATCAGGAACTCTCCTGAACCGTATACCCCGCATCCTGAAATCTTCAGACCCAAGCCTAAACCCTCCTCTCCTCAGCCCCGGAAAAGTCCTGCACCGTAAATTTCAAAACCGAAGCGATACGGCATTGTGGTGGAGTGTCTATGACTGAGGCCTCGAACCTCACCGCCATTCTCAAAACACACACAACAAGGACACCCTGAATCTTAAACCCCAAGCTAAACCCTACTACTGTGAACTGCCGTAGCATGCATCTTACACCCCGAGTGCGAGGTGGAGGAGCCCGGCACCAAGGAGTCCGCTGATGCTCTTTGGGATGAGATCGAGGCGGGCTGGGTGTTTGCGTCTTTCAGGTGTCGCTGTTTATACGAGGAATCTAGAGCGTGCCTGAACTCCTGCAGCTGAGGCTTGCAATCACATTCCGACATGATCTGCGCCCGCCGTTCAATGCCCGCCGTTCAAACGGAGCAATGCAAAACAGCATTGGGTGTGTGCATTGCTTGTCTTGAAGATAAAACTTGGTGAGAAGAAGCTGGCTTATATGAACTCTTAGAACAGCTTTGGTGAACTTGTTCTTGAACACTCTACCTTGCAAACAGCATTGTGAAGACAAGCACCATATCTCAATCCTTCCTCCTGCTGCTGCTAGTGCTGCTACTGCTTAGCCACAATCAATATGGGTCGAACGCAAATCTGGAGCTGTTCACTTCTTCACCTAGCTCAAGCTGACACTTTGCATACACAAGGCAGTTGTCTCAAGGCCCGACTTTGCCGGAATGACCATGGTGGATGAACGCCTTGCGAGTCTGTCCGTGGAGGTATGGTTGTCCAGTGGGCCTTATGCTGAGCCCCAACTTCATCGAGAATTTCACCTAACAGGTTCCATGGGGACCCTGGATGATCCAGAGGTTGAGACGTTTGAGATAGACACGGTTCAGATGCCTCCCAGGAAGGAATACCTCTTGCGTGTAGTCAATCGACATTCAAACATCAGCTATTGTGTGACCTTGATGGTGGATGGGAATGACGTCTTACTACCCCGAGACGATTTCAAGTTGAGTTTCAAGCCTCTCTACAGCAAAAACGATACAGAGTATCGTTCCGAAGGACATGCAAATTTCAGTGGCTTCCAGCACTCTTACAAGAAAGCAAACTTTCGTGCTACGTCCCAGCAGAAGAATTTTGTCACCAGCGATTCTGGTTTGTCGGAGTGGATATTTTCCTTTTACGCGAATGAGGTGGAAATGACCTACAATCGTGGCGGGGGCCGGGTGCACCGGGAACGACAGCAGCCTGTAATGTCGGAAGCCACTGAGGAGGGACGGACAGAGGAGAGCACATGGGACTGCCCTCGGGCACCGCAGAAGCCGGAAAGCCACATGGGGGACATCTTGTTCAATCTCGTCGTGCCCTACGAGATTTCAACCACAATGACTCCTTGCAGGGCTTTCGAGCGGAAGGATGGGACCACGCGTCCTCCACGCCCCTGGGTCCGAGCAGCACCAGTGGCCAACAAACATTGATGCTCGTTTGCAACATCGATTCTCAGAGCGGTTCCCCAGTACAGTGAGTTGGGGGCTGCACTTTGTGTATGTCCAAACGATTCAGTCACAGCCTGACTTCCAAGATGCTTAGTATACATGCTGTTTATGCAGCTTATCTTCCAGACTGTCGGCTACAGACAATGCTGGCAGACATCCGCTGAACGACAGAATGTTGAATTCAGTTGAATCAGCTTTCCGGAACAAGGCAACTTGACGGTTTGGTCAGCGCTTACCGCCCAGATGCCAGGAGATATGATCGTGCACTACAGCTTAAAGTCGAAACTTGGCCGTCGCGAGGTGCAGATTGATTTGACATGTCCGATTTCTCGTGCGCCCAAAACCCCCTGAACCTTAGGCCCCAAGCCCCAAATCCCCAAGCCTTAGGTCCTACCTATAGCTTCCTTTGCATTTCCGTTTTGGGTTTACCTGATAGGGTCTAACTCCAAAACCGACGTAATTAGAAAATCGGAACTAAAAGGGAGCCTCTTGGTAAACTTCCATGCGAGCACTGTCATATGAGTGCTTTTTTGGGTTGAGGGTTTTGGGTTTAAAGCAGCCTACCTCTTCCACTAGATTGGGGTTTCTGGCTTTGGGTTTAAAGTTTCGGAAGTAATGTTTGGGGCAGTTTAGGGCTTACGGTTCGGGGATTAGCGTGCAAAACCCGATAAGCTCCTGTAGATCGGAGAGATTACCTAGAGGGTCCATATACACTACCATTATGGAATTAGGCCCCCAAAGCCATAATAGGAATGGTCTTTTGGGACCTAATTCCATAATCGTAGTATATATGGACCCCCTGGGTTATGCAGCCACGAAGCCCTCAAACCCTCTTGTAACTCTTCTGACAGGCCTGCAGCCGTGACTCACTGAGCTGATCCATTTCATCGCGGAGGCACCTGGGTTGAGGGTGTAGGGTTGAAGGCTTATGTATCGGTTTATCGATTTGGGATAGTTGTTAATTTGCCCCGTTGTGTAATACAGAGCCTTAGTAATTATAGACATTGAATTTTTGGGACTGTTGAAATCGGCACCTGGTTTGGGGTTTGCAGCTTTACGTCTGCGAACTTAGAGGTATCTATAGGGGGTTTAAAGAGGCTGGAAACCCTAAACCCTAAACCCTAAACCTTGGGGCGGCCCCACGGCTTCGGTGCACCCCGAACCTGAAAGAAAAAAAGACTGCTGGGTTGTGCTTTGGAATAATTTTTATTTTCCTTATTTCCTTATAAAGGGAACTTATTCATAAATAATTTTCAAAGGGTTTAAAGCACAACCCAGACTAACTTGGTATCCTTAGCTGCCGGACTTGTTGGTAGCCCTTCTGTTGGCTAACCCCAAACCCTAAACTTGGGCCGGTGGGGTTCATGGTGTTCAGGGCGTGGGTTGGTCCGGTGATTTGTGAGATGGAGGCCTAAATATTCGCCAACACAATTTTGGGGGCTCCTTCTTATTATTATTAGAGTATAACGGGCCCAAAACCCTATTCTAATTATTAAGGCCCCTATACTATAGTACGCTTATAGATCCCTATAGACCCCCTTTAAAAGGAACCCTGTTCGAATTATTAAGGCCCCTATAGTGGGGCTCTAGCTCACGGCTTTCGGTCTATGGTAAAGGAGTTGCGCCTCGGAGCAGGTGGGGTGCATAGTGTCCGGGGTATTGGGGCAGGGATTCAGATGCCTTGGGCTTTGGGTTTAGTTTTTGGGCTTTGGGCTAAGTTTTTGGGGTTTAGGGTTTAGTTTTGTGGGTTTAGGGTCTAGCTTTTTGGGTTTAGGGTTTAGTTTTCGGGGCTTAGGGTTCAGGGTTTAGGGTTCAGATGCCTTTAGAAATAGTGGAAGAACACTGGAGTTCTGAACCCGACAGCACTGAAGCCCCGCTTGGAGGGTCGGGAGAGTTATAGTCAGTAGTTGGCTTTATGGAGTTGTAAGTATCATAGCCCCAACTAGGATCTAAGTCTGCCCAACCCTCCAAGGACAGCACTGAAGCCTTGCGTGACCAACTCACGCCCACAGCATAGCATTGCAACACAAGCTTGGAGCTTCAGGACTATTTTCCATGGGGTGCAACGGCATTGTTTGTGGGTTTAGGTTGGGCGCCGCCCCCACTCAGTAACAGTTGGATAATATTCATAATATAGATATAGTACGACCTTAATAGTAGCCCTATTATAGACTGTTACTGTATGAGGGCAGTACCCAAGGTTTGGGATTTAGGGTGACCTCGAAATCTTAAACCTTAAACCCTAAACCCGGAACCTCTCTTTCCAATATATATTTAAACCTATAGTGGATTCGTGGGCAAGGCAATTCGGAGGACCAGATGTTTGGAAGTCGTGGGCAAGGCAATCTTTCGGAGACCAGATGTTTGGAATTCGTGGGCAAGGCAATTTCGGTGCAGAATTGCTTTGCCCACGAATTCCAAGCATCTGGTTCGCCTGAGACCAGATGTTTGGCATTCGTGGGCAAGGCAATTTCGGTGCAAAATTGCCTTGCCCACGAATTCCAAACATCTGGTCTCCGAAAAATTGCCTTGCCCACGAGTTCCAGACATCTGATGACCAGATGTCCGGAATTCGTGGGCAAGGCAATTTCCGCCTTAGGCAATTTCCGCCTTAGGCTTTCCGCCTTCGGGTTTCCGCCTTGGGGTTTCCGCCTTAGGGTTTCCGCCTTAGGGTTTCCGCGTCAGGGTTTCCGCCTTCGGGTTTCCGCCTTATGGTTTCCGCCAAATGCATTCCCAAGTAAATGCCACCAACAATCGGTTAACAAATCCATTCCTGAATGCAGGTCAACAGCGCAAATATCGGTTAACAAATTCATTTCCAAGTAAGTGCCACCAATTGGACCAACAATCGGTAACAAATCCATGCCTGAGTGTAGATGCAACAACGCAAACATCGGTTAACAAATCCATTCCCAAGTAAGTGCCAACAACAATCAAATCCATTCCTGAGTGCAGGTGCAATCGGTTAACATCCATTCCCACGTAAGTGCCACCAACAATCCGTTAGCAAATCATTCCTAAGTGTAGGTGCAACAATGCAGACATCGGTTCAGGGATCTCAAATGGAGCTGAGTTTTCGAACTTCGTGCAGGAAGCTCATACTGCATAGCTGCAGTTGCCGTGATCGAGACACTCAGATGTTTTGTACTGACTTTCAAAAGTCCGAAACTTTTTACTTGCCAGATTTAACCTTGTAAGCGATAAGCACATTGATACTTCGCATTGGAAAGGAACGTCTCTGAGTTAAAGCTTTTTAGTTTGGGCTCGAGGGTTTAGGCTCAATGTTTGGGCTTCATATAATAATGACACTTGTATGTTCTTAATGTTTTGGGATTCTCTGGGTGGGTGGGTATTATTCCAAGTCGAACTTGCGCAAGCTCGACTAGAAACTGCTCGAACCGGAGCTGCTGAATCCTAAACCCTAAATCCTAAATCCTAAACCCTAAATCTTGAACCGGTTTGGGGATCCGTGTATTGGTCAGCCCGAGGTCTTAATAACGCGGTCGGGCTACTATTATAGGGGCCTAAATAATTACTTATACTACGGCTGATGATACAACTCCTGCATTACCTTAAGGACCCTAAACTATGGGAATATTGGTATATTCCTTATTATGGGTAATGCAGAATTTGTATCATCAACAGTATTCTGGGGGTTCCTTATTACAATTATAGTATACTATACCCCAAAACCTGATATTAAAAGCCTTCTGCATGCAGCAAACCACAAACGGGGCTGGGTACAGGTGCCTTCACATGGCTCTCGACAGCGCCAACCTAATTCGGCTGCGGTGCAAGCGGTACAGCTAAATTCGAAAGGGCAGCCGCACAGAAATTGCAAGCTGAATGCACGTCTGGTTGCAGCAAAACGGGTGTTCACTTGTGTGTGTGTTTGCGTGTTTGCATTGTGCTTTTGTTGGTTTGCCTCTCTGTGCGTGCGTGTGTGTGTGTGTGCCTGTGTCCGTGTACATGTCCGTGTGTGTGTGTGTGTGTGTGTGTGTGTGTGTGTGGGTCTGTTGTTGTGCATCTCTCTCTCTCTCTCTCTCTCTCTCTCCTTCCCTCTCTTTCCGTCTTGCTCTCCATCTCTCGTCTGGGGGCATTTACAATTTACATCGTGCTCGTGCCCGTTGACGTAACCTCCTGTTGTCTGAGAGTCTGCATATCAATCTACACGAAACGACACACACACACACACACGCACACACGAGCGTATCTATTTCCTTTTTTCGTTACGGACGGACGGAGAAGCGTGTACTGCGTCCATGCATAAGTTAAGCTATAAGTTTATGCGTTGCGCGATACCTTAGGCATGCATACCATACATCCATTCACTGTGCAGGAAGATATGCTTCTTTCATGCAAACTCTCACATAAAGGCACACATGGAACCTACCTGGCTTACCTGGACCCTGCACAGTTAGAATGGTTGAAATTAGAGCCATTGTTGTTTTTGTCATCTACAAATGAAGGTGCCTCGTGTAGGGTCCAGGTACACACTGTGGCCTTGACAGCATTTATAAACCCTATTAAACCCTAAACCCTAAAACATTAACCTTAGACCCTAAATCCTAAACCCTAACCCCAAACCCTAAAACTTAGACCCTAAAACCTAAGCCCTAAACCGGGTCCTCCCTGTCGTGAAGGCTCTGACAGCGGAGAAGTCAGGACCACGATCCCCTTTTGCTTCGGGCATATGGGAGTTTCCGAACATAGGGGACCCTAATATAGCACCATAAATAGTAGGATCCTTATTATAAAGGACCCCAAATTTGATACCCTAATTTTCTGAAATTCCTATATCATGTACATAGGGTTTGGGGTTTTAGGGTTGAGGGTTTAGTGTTCTTGGGATATGGACCCCTAGACCCAAAAGCCTTAGGCCGTGAGTCTTTCGAGGCCGAGGGTCCTCAAGGGCATTTTTCGAGGTTTCGCTCGTGAACGAGAACATCTTAGGGGTACTTAGAAATATCTTCTAATTTTTTGTTATCAGAATCCCTAAGAAACAGCTAAAATTACAATTGTTGCCAGGGTTCTAAGTTCAGTATAGACATGACTCAAAAAGTCTACATCAACGCAAACCCTACAAGCTTGAACTCAAGCCTGCAACTCTTATCCTTAACTTGCGGATTCCTGTGTCTCGAAATCTCCGACCTCTGCGGAGCCGCGCGCGCCATGTCACAGCCACTCAGGGGAGCGGCGGGCGCAGGCAAGACTAGACTGTTGGGATCCAATGCACCATACTTAGTAAGGGCTCTTAAAGGGCTCTTTAAAGGGATCTATAGGGTTCCTTAAAGGGATCTATAGGGTTCCTTAAAGGGATCTATATATGGGGTTTAGGGTTTAGGGTCTACTTGGAAGGGCAGGGGCCTTAGTAAGTAGGGTTATAAGTAGGGTTATAATTGGGGTAACTCCATTTAGGGTACTTATAACTCTACTCATAACCTACTTACTAAGTCCCCTGCCCCTCCAAGTACATACCTAAACCCCCACTTAGTAGCTGAGTGGACACGCTTCACACTTCTTTGGAGAATACCACTATAAGGCTAAAAGTGTACACTGTTCGGGGGATTATGAACTGAGCAACTGAGCCCAAAAGTGGTAAAGCAATGGCCCAATGTCGAGAAAAAGGCCAGTCTTCTACATACTTTTGGCGTCCAGGTATTGCGTACTATAGAATTCCTTATGGCTCCTTGTTACATTGTTAAACCTATCGGATAAGATACCCAACACCCGTCTTCTAATTATTATTGCCCCATCTTCGGGCTATTGGGGCACTGGGTTTAGGGTTTCGAATGTGGGCGTTTCAGAATTTGAGGTTCAGCGCTTATGTTTTTCGATGGGTTTTAGATTCAGAGTTTAGGGAGCTTGAAGAGCGTAC